TTAATATTAGAAAAGATAAAAATGATATCGGACAAAAAAAGGGATAAACCATATATGTTTTTTGTCTCATAAAGAGTGGAATACATCTAAACAACTTGTATTTTTTGGTAATTCCTAAATGTAAACAAATTCATTCTTCGTAAGGCAGAAATTTGCAGCATAATTTCAATGATTTTATCTACCTTGGGAGTTTTTTCCATTATGAATTGACATCAGTGCTCAAGAAGTGGAAAGGCTGACTAAAGCATAATAATGTACTGTATATAGGCAATATCATTTGAAATTTTAGGATAGCACAGAGCTGGTTTCATATAAAGTAAAATTACCCCAGGCATATCCTCCACTATCTGGTCTTCATCACATCTTTCCACTTTACAGTCTGTGGAGCATTTCTCTGCTATACCTGATTGAGACATAGTCTCAGGCAAACACTCACAATGACAACTGCACCTCTCTCAGGATTACTGTTGAATCTCACGTTAAAGTTTATATTTATTTATTTATTTTTCTGTCAACATGGTTTGTAAAAATATAGAACAGTTTTTTTTGTGGTATTTTGTTATTGGGATGCAAAGCATAGATTATAGTAAGAGCTTAAAGAGGACTATTGAGTAGTTAAGTAAGTTTCTTTTGGAGTTCTTTTTATATTAGACTTTAAAAAAAACTTGATTAATTCATTAATATCTCTAAGTAGCAGGAGTTACTGTGAAAGATGAAAACTACCTAGAAAAAAGAAAATACATGTAAATAGGACCCAAATAAAAATTTGAAAAGCCCAAATGTATTTTAAAAATCTGTCCATAAAGTGCCCATAAAAAGGGTACCACACTACAAAAACTAGGAGCAAATAGTTACATGTCATGAGAAGCTGTTTAATAAGATAAAGAGTTCTTATGTTATTAAACAGGTGCCAAACCCGTGTATTAGGCCACACATTTTAATTCAAAACTGACTAATTTTTCAGTGATATTGTTTGACTTTGGACAGAATACTTGCCAAAGACAAAACAACAAAAAACATGAGATCTCACAATCTGAAAACTGACTAAAGGAGTTAATCATCATCAGAAAGATTAATTCATTATTTATTGCTGTTTAGTTGTGTTTTACAATGCTCTTTGCAATTGTATAGCTGGCCAAACACTCTTCCTCATCTCTGCTTAAAGCAGTTCATTATGGTCTAAATACTGTAATCATTAATAGATGTATGAATCTATAGCATTTTCCTAATGTGATTTTCCAGCTTGATCAATAAGTACATTTCAGACAATAAAGCATATTTCACAGAATAAAACTGTTGCCCTATACACAGGTATACGTTATAACTCTATCTGACATTGGTTCATTTCAGCTTCCAAAGAAACACCTACAGAGATTGTCCCTGACGGTATGCCTAATGTCGCTTTAGAAGAGGAAGCATGCATAACTGCAATGTTGTATGAATCCTGAAAGTCGCTGATTTGTCACAATTTTCCAAAAATCAATGATTACTTCAAGCATGTTAAAACACACACATGCTGTTTTATCTGCTATATGGAGTAAGAGTAAGCTGCCTAAATTTATGAGTACAAAAATTAGTCTGAAGGTCTACTTTCCTTTCTAGTCTTATCAATATTTTCAGTCAAGACACTTTCAGATTGATTAAATCAAATTGTACGTAATACATCACTAATCTAAGCTTAGCAGCTGGACTTGCATTCCGAACATCCTGCACCATAGTTTTAACGATACATTCTCTCCATTGTTAGATTATGTTTCATCCTCTAATCCAGGTGTACTATAAGTGGCCACACAGTCTCTTCCAGACAGATGTATAAAATAAAGCATCTAGCTTTGCAGCATCTTTACACAGATTTGTAAACAAATCACGCCACCATGCTCAACTCTATGTGGTGTTTTTGCAAAGTTGAACTGTTCAGGGACTACAGCAGTTATAAAGAGGGGTTACAAAGGTACACTTTTGCTGACACTTTGATGATTCAGCAACTACGGAGACCCAAACCTCCTTTGGAATTAACATCAGTACAAAAACTGTGTGCCGGGAGCTCCATGGCACAGGCTTCCTCTCTCAGCTGTAATATGTAGGTGGTTTGTCTCAAGTTACCTCAGACTAGTTTCATCAAATTCTTACACCTACTGTTCAGTCCTGTACTTTCAGAGACTTAATTAAAGATGTTAAACTTAATTTCCAGTATGCCACTACAGTAATTAAAGACAATTTTATCAGAAACAAGATAAGAGTAATCTGATGTCATAAACAAACAACAAAGTCCCATGAAACATCAGTTACTTACTACATAGGGCATCTGTCTTGCAATTTACAATGGAAAAATAACTGATTTTTAAATGTATTCTGGTAATTTTATCCTTTATCTAATAGTTTTATCCTTACAGGGACATGTGGCCTGCATCCTGGTTGTTTTAGATTCCCCCTACCCCAATACTTTACAATGGATATAATCACATGGCAGTAAATGCATTGATCTTTATGATTTCAAGGACCACGGAGTGACAAAATTCCCAATAAATCGTTGTGACAAAAGCAGTCTACGAGGATACTTTTCCAATTAGCTAATGGATTCATTCAGCTGTTAAAATGACTCTGGAGGATGTATGTGTGTTGTGACTAGTTTACATGATAACTGCAATACTCCATTTCTATAGACATGATTTCTGAATACAATTAAACCATTAATGAATGCACATGTGTGGCCAAGGACTCTTAAACAATAAACAATCAGCCCAAGCACTTACCAACCAGAGAAGGGTATATTTTCAGCCAGCTGTGCCATTTCACGTTAGTTCTTGCCACATTCCCAACCCCTTTCTCCCCATGCAACAACTCCCCTATGCACTCCGAATGACAGAGGAAAGGAAATTATCGAACACCAATACAATAAAGCTGTCTGGTAACTTAATAGGGCTGCTGAGTAGGGGCACTGTGGCCTTCTTGCTTTGAGGCGATAATGAGAGTCATCATTCCCTCTTGGGCTGGAAGAAAGGGGCCTCCTCAGTGGTGATAGTGTGTGTTTGCACATGCATTTGTGTATATGCGCATGCAAGTAGTCTTTGAGATTTTTTTTTAGTCCGGTGAGGCCCAATAAGCAAACAGCATAGTGCTACAACAAAGAAAGATAGATCTCCCACTGAATACAGCTTGGGAGAGATGTCTGAGAAATACTGTTCATTAAATCAGGCTAAAGTCCAAATATTGAGTTTATAAACTTTAGCGAGACACAGAACATGGACTGCCCCATTTATCATATTATTGGTCCCTCAGCCATTTATATGTTTGGGGAATATGTCTCAGGATGATAAAAGAAACCTGTCTCTAACGAAAAAGAAAAGTACCACTTGTTATTGGAATGCAACATGAATTATTGTCTAACAAGAGATCCACAATGACGAATCCTTTTGTTTGAAAGGAAGCCGTGTTACTGCTGGATCCGTAATCATTAGAATCTTTTTTCAAACTGAAAAAAAGAGTTTCTATTTATCTAGTAGGTTTAATGTATTGGTTCAAATTTGTGAGTTTTGCTTGCTCCAAAATACTGACTTAGATATTTACATATATGCAGCATTCGTAGTTCATTAATACACATTATTATGATGAATGGAACTTTATTCAGGAATTTTGATCATCTACTTTCTCTCTGAGGCCAGTAATGCTGTAAGTTAAACATAGCGCAGTTATAAATGAAGGGGTGAGAAGTGAAAGGAATTCTTATGCTCAAAGACATTTGTTTAATTTAATTTCAGCTCCTATGGTGTGTATAGTGTGCTCTTTCTCTCACACTACATCAACTGTCCACGTAGGAATGATTTTTAAAACTGGCTTTTACAATGACCCGAGGGTTCAAGCTCCATGATAATAAAATATTCCAACTGTTGTCTGTGCTGACTCTGGCTACTAGAAGTACAATCAGTGCAACATGATGGTGTACCACAGGACTTGATTCCCACCCAGGGGAGTTTAGGTAAGAGAGACCTCATTGTGTTTATACCAACACCTTGTTATCTTTTCCCATTTGCTGATGGTGAGCCCCAAGGGTGAGCAACTTGCAATAAATATTTAATGCTGAGAAAAGGAGTACAACTATTGTGAACAATATTGCTGTTAAATAAATAATTAAATAAATTAAATGTAATATATCTACTTTCGAATTTAAAAGGCAAAACATATTAGTCCACAATGCCCTTACAGCACATGAGACAATTAATCGATGGCTCCCGTTAAGTAACTTCAAGAAAAACATCAAATCATTCACAGTAGTTTTACACAAAGGTGGTATATGCTGTATAAATGGTCAGAAAATTAACCTCTAACTACTGCTGTGTGTAATATACACTGATGAGTAGGTAATTTACAGGCAGCAAATTATTCCTGCGTTAAAACAGGACAAAAATAAATAAACTTAGCACTGCAGATTGCAATGGAGGCAGAATATGGTTGGAGTCCAAGTTTACAAAACCCCCTGTTCCATGTTGATATAGTGTGGTTGATAACAGTAAGAAAAACTGACATCATTAAGATTCACAACTGTGCAAGCAAAGCAACACAAGCCAACCTCCTCCAACCCCCAGATGACTATCAAGCACTGTGTTTTCCAAGCATGGAGGTAATGAGACAAATACTTATTACTCAAGTAAAAATGGCATGAATATTAGCATCACATTAGGCCCCATATTTAATGATGTTGTAAGTACAATATGTCACTGTTACTCGGAGGCAAAACATATTTAAACATTATATAGAGAAGAAGGAGGAAATATGAAGAAACTGCAATCTATTTCACTGCAGTGTCTCACAGAGAAACATGGCTGAACAAGGATGGAAACATGAATGAGAAAATCATCACCATAACAGGCTTTCATATGCTACTTCATGGATACCTGATGTGAAAATGGAACACAAAATGATTAGAGTTGTTAAAAAATAACAAACTATATGAAGTGAATCTACAGTGAGCGATTAGTAGAAATGGGACCATCAGTACTCACTAAAGGGGTGCAAGGGGTCCAATATTCAGGGTTCAGCTCAGCTCGAGGACGAAGGTCCAGATATTCAGGGTTCAGTTCAGTTCGGGCACGAGTTAATGTTCCCTTCATGGAAGATTGAAAAAAAAAGGTTAGAACTGCTCACTGTGTCATTTTAGATTGGTTGTTATTTATACAAGTAGTTGAGTCCACGAAACCCAATATAAGGTAACTAAACAGAGTAAAAAACACAATATGTTTTTACTAATCACTGTTTAAACTGAATTTACTGTTCAAATTAACTCTTTACCACCTTTATTTGACTGAACAAACTAAGCCTCACTGTTTTCTGTCTCCACCAGCCAGTCGTGTTCAGGTTACATGCATGTCTGTCAAGAGTCATACATGTAATAAACATGGAAATCAGGATGTTGTTCTTAACTGTTGTTTCTAAGTGTTTGGCCAAAAAAATCTATTCCTGATTAAAAGCACAGCTGTAGTAACAACAGCAGATATGATCTGTATGCTTCTGCAATGAAGTTACAAATTCTAGAATATGCGCGCTTCAACCTGCCATCAATTTCGAGGTGAGCACCAAATCTGAATGTCATTAATTCAGTTCATTTAAGTTCACTTCAGTTCAGATCACTTGACTAAATTATCTTCTGGAGCAACCTGGGTTATGATTCTGAAGAACTGTCAGAAAAGTCTAGTTTCAAAACATTATACTTTCACGGTGAAGTTTACCTTTGATATTTGTGTTGAATGCTGTCATAGCTATAGCACTAGTAAAACACAGAGTTGCAAAAACTAGAATTTGGAAGTGTGAGAGTAAGCTTCAGCATCTAAAAGTGAATCAGTTGATTTTGAGTGAAGAATGGGACAGTCAAATGGACAACACAAAAAAACAGTCACCATCATGGAGGTACAGAAATGTTACTGAGTATCTATAGTAGAGCAATTAAAGAAAAAAAAAAGTAAATTTTATATATATAACATATTTTAACAGAAGTTTCTATAAAATGAAGAGCAAATGAGGTTAGAATCCTGTTTTTCCTTGGGCCTTTTCCCCTAAATGACAGGCTAGTGGAATGGTCTGAATCTGCTGGGCCCCATGAGCTCTATGATGTATACTGTAATTATCTGCTGATTCTCAAAATGGCTGTGTGTAATGAGGCTATGCCGCATGAAGTTCCAGGCATAAATCACTGTCTTTAACTGACTTCCAGATGACCAACAACACAGAGCAGAAGCAGAGAGAAAGGAGGAAATGGGTTATCTGGGTAGCAGAACCACAGCATCCAACTTGTGCCTCTTATCAGCAAAGGCCACATTGTTAGCTGAGCTTGCTGACTTAAGACAGTTGTCTGTCTCTGTTAACTCACATGCACTTATTCAGAGGTATCTGTTTATAGCTTGTCTACCAATGTATTAACTTCTCACAGCTTTATTTAGCTATGCAACACAGGTGGAGACTTTTTAGGAGCTATGCTCATCTGTGCTGAATGGAAACATGCCAGTGAGCCCATCAGGCTGCATGCTGTTCTTGGCATAAAACTGCCTTGACTCACACAAATAATCATAATCAAATGTCATAAACAAGTAAACTGCAGCCGCACACACATAAACTGGAAACATATTCTGAATATTAACGAACGAGGGTTTTTTTTATAGTCATACAGCTACTTACAGAATGTAATGGACTGTATACATAGTTGGGTAGAAACCACGTCATCTTCTTTTAAGGGTTATATCCATATATTACATGCTTTTATCAAGACTGCTTATTGTGTTAATTTTATCTTAATTTTACTTCACTTTTATTTTTGCATTTTTTTCTTTTCATAGATAAATACTCTTATATAGTAATATGTATAGGGGGTCAAGGGTGGTAACTGCCCCTGTGCTGTAGAGCCTTGCCCTCCCCCCAGCTGCCCCCAAATTTTATGTCTTTAAATACTTGTAAGAACTAATTGCTTGTTTGCCCCCCATTTAAAACTTTCTAGATCCACCACTGGAAATGTGAAGTATTTTTTATTATAGCATAAAAAAGTGAAACATGCTCTTTGACTATGTTAGCAATATCTAATTTTCTGTACAGGAAGAATGTGTGCAACCTCAAATTGTTTTAGTGAACCCCTATATATAATCACCATACTACAAAAACACATCAAATCACCTTTAATATTAGGGAGAAATTAGGGAGTATCAACCAAAAAACCGTACCTATATCTTGCTCTATAGCCCGTAATAACAAAAAAATTCATCAACAATTATTTTAATAGTAAGTAAAGATGGCAGACCATCTTGGTGAACCATTTGTGAAACAAATGGCCTCTTTAAGTCCAAAAAATTTGGGGAGTTTCACAAGAAGTTAAATAATTACAAATATTCATTAAATTATATTTAATATGTTTTAAATATATATTTAAAATAGTTATACAGATTTCTAATCTGTCATTTTATTGTTACTTTGGGGCCGTAGTCTATATACCAACTCCATTTATAGTTTACCAGCTGGGACAGCAACCTAGTCCACATTGCTTAGATGTGTCATCTTTATGAAATTTTCAAAATGTGCTATCAATTTACACAACAGATTTACTCCTTAGTGAAGTATTTTACCAGAAACACTGTATCCTTGAGTAAGCAGTTAACTAGTATTTGTGAGTGGCTAACGGTAATTTTAGTTCCTTTAAAACTTTTAACAGTATAAATCTCTTAAAAGTTTAAATAAACTGGAACTGTGCAGACTTGTGTTGGTGTTGCTTTTACTAGACCATTAAAAACAAACTTTTCCTCACAAATGTTCCCCAGCAAATTCTTCCAATTATTTGAGAAAGAAATGGAAATGGGTGAATAGGGTAAAGCAATACTTAGAACCCCGATTTCATTATGCATCTTCGTAATATATTCCGCTTGTCTGTCACTCTAATTAATGGCTGTCCTTCTCCATAAACCGCCCAGAATGTGAGATTATTTATTAGTACCTAGCCATTTATCACCAGCGTGATAAGTGACAGAGAGAGGGGAAGTGAGAGTTGGCAACACTGTAATTGATCATTTTTCACTCGATATAGTCAGAGTGATTGTGGTAAACTCTTGGTTGCAGTATGTGATTCTGTCAACACTGACAACAAAAATAAGGTGCATGAATAAAGCAGGTTATTTAGATTGATTAAGTGCTGGCAGTAACATTAGGTTTCAATAGACTTCCCAATACCTGAACAGAAAATAGTAAAAGATCAGATCTATTAGTAACGACTCTACTCTTGCATTTATATTTTATTCTTTATACTGCTAATGCTACAGTTTAGTGGTGGTGCTACAACAAAGTATCACTTCTGATCCTTGATGGATAGAAGGAGTACTTTCACACTACATCAAGACTCAAAAATTTGGTCTTCCACATCTTTTTTTCCTGTCTTTGGGAACTGGGAGGGAACGTATTTTAATAAAAAAGGTGAATTACAAGCACCAGCATGTTCGTTTATGGGTGTGTCATACAAACAAAGGTACCTGCTGATTAATGACATGGAATTTCAGAACAACACCACTGAGTTGGCCACACTGTTTGTTTGATGCTGCAATAAAAAGAATCTTGAAAACCAACCAATATCACAAACATGGTTTAGGGGTCCAGTTCAGAGACTCTTTTCACGTGATGCACAGCAGATAGCCTGCGGGTCCAAGTACTTGTGGCCTTAAATATCAAGTTGTTAGCATCCCTTAGTAGCCTTAATAAAACTTAAATGGGTTACTATTTAAAATATTCACCTCTCATACAGTTGTTATGAAGACTGAATCTTGATATGAATACTGAAATAATTTTTCATGTACCAGTATCTAAACATGTCTCGTCTCTTATCAAGGGAATCTATGGGGATTGACATGCTTATGGCGTTAGTCTCAAGGAACTTTGGTTTTTGGCACTCTGATACTGGTAACATATTAGTTTGGAAGCAGTGCACATACACTTTGAGATCTAGGTTTTGCTCTTTTGGAGGTAGGATCTATATATTTTTAAGGTATCTGCAAAATAAAACCAAGATTTTATAGAAGCTCTTAAGTTGAAAATTTCAAGATGTAAGATAAAAAGGTCTAGTGTTTTTTCTGGAACAGCTAATTGAAAACACACAGACGAACTGGTGGGGGTTAATCAATTACAAGGTAGTGTTTTTACATTGGTAAACCCAGTGAAAATGCTCTTTAATGACCGACATGTACAGGTAAAAATAACAACATACTGCTAAAAGTCTCTCTGGACTTGTAAAGCTATTCTTTTGAACTTTCCTCTATACCGTGAGCTGAGAAGATGAGTTTCATTAGGGGGATAAAACACACCTTAATTAACTTTACCATTAGTCTATTCCTGCCAAGCTTTTCCAGTCACAGCAGACCTTTAATTCTGTTTAATTACCTTGGAGATTCCACTGTATGCACTCTTCCTTGACATTACGAGAAAACATTAATTTCTCAACAAGTTCTGTGCATGTGTGTGTCTACCACTAAGAGAACTACATGATGTTTATCTTGTGTGTTTATCTTGCAAGACTTATGAAGATGGTATGACACATAATGCATTACAGTTTGCATATGACTTATTCAAGCATTTCTTCAATCATTTTTTATTAAATTAGCAATTTACTTGTTTATTTATTAACTAATCATATCAAAATATCAAAACAATTTGTATTTAGGAAGATTTGATGTGAAATTTTAATTAAAAAATCTCTTTCATGAGATGGATAGGGGGACACCTACAAAGCTGGCAGTGGAAGAACAAACTGTAGATTGGTCTACAGTTGGTTCACTTACGGGAAAGGCTTATCAATCACATTATCATCTGACTTGTCTTTAAAATTGTTCGCTATTGGTTAATACATTATAGGTATAATCACCCTGTGCTGGCATGGAAGTCTCCTTCTTAGCAGCCTGCTGACTTACAGTTGGAGCTCTAGTAATGCAAATGAGCCTATAAAGTGTCCCTGTGTGGGGAATTCCCCTCTGGACATTGGACTGACATCAGCTGAGAAGTGCTCTCTGTTATTCAACAATTTAGTCTCTTCTTTGTACAAGATAATCTGATTTTATTCTATACTTTGGTCTTTTTTGTCCATATAATA